CACTCCTACCCTATCTATGCAAATCACTTCATCCTTCTAGGACCCAACTTCTCCATGAAGACCCCTCAAAAACTTCTGCCTGGGGCTGGAGTTATGGCTCAGTGGCAAAGCACTCATCTAGCACACGTGAGGCCCAGGGTTCAATTCTCAGCACCACATAAAAATAATAAAATAAAGGTATTGTGTCCAACTACAACTAAAAAATACTTAAATTAAAAAAAAAAAAAACTTCTGCCTATCTCTGAAAGTCTACTGCACTTATTATGTCTAAGTCTACTCATTATGTATTCAAATACCTGCTTAAAAGAATTTTACAGGTGATAAACTTATCAATTAAACTGCTTGAGGAATTATGGCACTTGTTTGCTGGAGTTCACCAAAAAATTGAGGGAGTAGAATAATGCATGGTAGTGCATGCCTGCAATCTCAGTGACTCAAGAGGCCAAGGCAGGAGGATTGTCAAGTTTGAGATCAGCTATATATATTTTTTTAAGGTTTCTCCATATTTCTAATGCCTTGCAACATAGGAAGCAATCCATAAATATCTGCTCTCTCAAATAAAGAACATGATTATTGTTGTTTTTAAAACAACTCATTGAGACTTGACCATAACAAACTGTTGGAAACATAGCATATGATAAGTACATCAAATTTTGTACAGCTGGGCTGGGGTTTGTAGCTCAGTAGCTGAGTGCTTGCCTCACATGCATGAGGCATTGGGTTTGATCCTCAGCACCACATAAAAAAATAAACAAACACAAAGCTATCGTATCCATCTACAACTAAAAAAAAGTATAATTTTTTTTTGTACATCCTATTTAAGACCACTGATGTGTGGGTAAGCCCTGAGACAGAGCTAGGAAATGAAAACCACAGTATGATCTTATACCCACCAGAAAGAACTGTGTTCCTTAATTTTCACAAGATTCCAAGGCTCTAACAAGTCTCTTGTCTGCTATTCCACCAATTTAATCTTTACATCCCCATGTCAGTTGCACTAAGTGAATATTCCCAAAGAACCCAATGCACAAAAAAAGAATAAGGGGAGGGAGGCTGAGGTTGTGGCTCAGTGACTGAATGCTCTCCTCGCATGTGGAAGGCACTAGGTTCCATCCTTAGCACCACATAAAAAGAAAGGTATTGTATCCATTTACAACTAAAAAAAATACTTTGAAAAGAATAAAGGGGAAGTGGATTTGCAAAATCAAATTTTCAGCCATAATGCTCACATGACTTCCTCTTAACAGAGATGACACAAAAAGCTAAACATCAAAAAGTTACTATTATCTGATGCATCAGCATGCACTGATGGTACTAGGACCCCAATATTTCCACCATTTGTAAGTTCTTAGCTACACCCACTGTAAAAAAAAAAAAAAAAAAACACTAAACATATCTGGGGATATTCGCTCTTAATTCTATCATTTAAAAAATTTCCAGCTAAACAATACCATACCCAAATGGTAATTCCACTTCTCTACTACATAGTGAAAAGAACACCATGTTCAACTTTAGCCTCCTCACCTACCCTCTTATCTTCTATCATCAGATTCTTCATGATCACACACTTGAACTTCAGGGAACAATTACTCAAGGGAAATGTCCCTGCAGAATATAAAACTACCTCAGCCAGTTTCACTGTCTATGAGGTGTGAGACTTGCCAAACTACCCGTATAGCTTTCATCATCTAAAAAAAGATTCCAACAATAGTGAAACTAATCAGCATAAAAATCAAGGCTTTCATTAGACAAGTTTAATTACTTACTCTCCAGTATCTGTAAAATCATAGCTGGACTGGAATTATTTATGTCAACATATTTCATTATGAGTTTTTAAAAAGGGAGCCCAAAATCAAGCTACTCAAGACAAAATCATGAAGTCAATGTGTCCATTAACACCTGAAGCATGTTCCTTGAGTCTGACAGCTATTGTTATAAACTGGCATAAGTATATAAGCCTAGCTATGAAAGTCAATATTCCTGGTTTCTTATCATCGAATCATACCAGCAGCAGCCTTAGTGAGAGGTGATAACAATTGTTTTCAGTTCTAATCACAGGGCTCAAAAACACAGTATACATTTAGGGTAACTCTTAGGCTCTATAATAATTCTTAACATTTACAAACATGGTCTTAACACACATTTTTGTCCAAGTTCATAGTATAGTTGCCCGTTTCCTGATCAGCCCTCATGTTTCCTGGTTTATAATTTACTAAACCTTCCAAAACGATTAGTGGAACATGAGAGGTTTTATTTTAACAATCACTACACATATATTCTGACTATTCAAAAAGGACACTGTGTGATACCAAGCAGACACCACATCTACCTTTTGCTAAAGAACCAGACAAATATTTTTCCCCAGTGTATGTTTAATATGAAAAGTTTATTAACAGCTTTCCTACAAAAGTTAGACCTATGAAAATGTAAATAGTAATAGCATATCTAACATTTGGGAACTGGTGAATTTCTTTAGGAATGATAATGATACTGTGGGGGTTTTGTAGTTTTTGAGTCATTTATTTAGAGATTTATATACAAATATTTACAGATGAGATATCACATCTGAGAGCAGGGAGTAAGTACATGGACCACGCAAGAAACGTGATAACACATGAGTTGGTGGTTACTGAACTTTGGTGTTGGGTGTATTAAGAATTAATGTTCGGCTTGTCTACTTTTGTGTATGTGTACATTTTGCTACCAAATTTTAAATAAACTTTTCAAAAAGTTAGGCCTGTTATACCCACACAGATAATATATATTTAGATATGAAGGTGACACAGAGTTCAGCTAACCAAAGTAAACTGAGTTTTGAATCTGGAAAAGTACCAGAAAACAATTACAGCAAGGAAAGAAACAGTATTAGTAGTACATTTTTAATTTGGGGTCTTATTTTAAAATTAAGTTTTCAAACTCAAAATAAACTGGAAAGAGCACATTTTCTTTCAAAAGCCAACCATATTGATAAATATATTACAAATCTAAACAGCTATTGTTGTAAACTGGCATAAGTATATAAGCCTAGCTATGAAAGCTTACTAAAAATAAAACAATCAAAACTTATTACATGTTATATCCATCTCTATCTGGTCTTCCAAAATGATCATGGGAATCCAGAGGCCATTCTTGCTTAATGAGAGGAACCACAAAGAAAGAAGAACTACTTGTAACCATCTTTTACAAGTACTTTCCTGAACCAACCACAAATTAGCAACGGTGAACCAAATTCTAGGCAATGCTTTCTCTTAGGAATACATGATGCCATATCAATCTCTACCTTGAAGAGAAGTCACATTTCAAAGTATGCATTCACTTTGGCAAAGTTAAAGCCACGGTTAGAATTATCCTAAGTGGTGAGCATCAACACTCAAAATTTTGGCCAATACACCAGTTCTAGAACCAAAGGGTAACTGATTCCATCATTGACATCAAAATCTATAGTCACCACCAAATAACCATCATCACCTTCCCTTCCTCCCCAACAATGTCCACCATCCATCACCACCACCTCGACCAAAAGCAGTTCACAGAAGAGAACAATGCTAACAGGAAGATTTTTTTTAACCTGACACCAGAACACATACACAGAAGTACAGATACTATATGTAAAACATAACCTTTCATCGAAAAAGCTTGTATTTGTGCTTTTGAAACAATACCATAATAACAGCTAAAATAAAAATTAAAGTGAAAACTTTCCTTCAGGATTCTCAAACCTTCACATTAGGTGCAAGAAAGGTTTTGTGGTTAAGAAAGCTGGACCATCTCTGCAGTCTCAAAGCATTCGGTGTGTGTGTGTGGTACGAACACTGGGGGAAGGGACAGGGAAATGGGGGGGGGCAGTTAAAATTCATAGAGGCCAATGCTCAATCCTAGCATCAAATTAGATCTGTCCAGGCAAATATAGTTTCCCCTGAACCCTAGACAGACTCCCCGCCTCTAGTACCATCTTCCGAACACCACCACCACCACCCCAAGCCTCTTAACCGGCAGGAAAATGTGCATTTGAAAACCAAAGCTGCCTGCAGGTGCCTAAGGAATAAAGACACATACACATACACATACACACACACACACACACACACACACAGCAAATCACTTAGGAAAAGCATACACGCATACACACATACATACACACACACACACACACACACACCCCAAAAAAAGAGAAAGGAAAAGGAGAGGTACAATTGTGACAAGCCCTTCAGCAACCAGCTAGAATTTTATTCTTTCCTCCTACCAGTCCTCTGGTGTACCTTTTTCTGTCCTTCAACTCAATTGCTCATGTACACACACACACACACACACACACACACACACACACACACACACACACGGGCATGTGTATGTGTACAGATAATATTATAATTAACCCTTGCTGTAACAGAGCTCCACACGGAATACAGAAAAATATTCCATCCTTTCCTCTTCTCTCCCCTCCTCCCTCCTTTCTCCCAAACAGGAGAAAACGCCCCCTTCCCCAGCTTCAATTAAAAAAAAAAATGCGGTGGGGGGTGGCAAAGAAACCACGAAACCCCTCCGTCTCTGGCCCCTGGACACCAGGAAAGGTGTGTGCTAGACACACGCGGACACCGGCTCTGGAGAAGCACCCGGGAACGGTCCACAGGCGCCCCAAGCCCAGCAGAGACTTCACCAGCCAAGAAGCCATGATTGGGGAGGGTGCGGAGGCAGGGGCAGGGGCAGCGCTCTCCGCGGAGGGGGGCGCATTGTTGTGGTCCCCGCACCCCTTTCTCTCTGCCCATCCGCTGTGGAGGGGTGCGGGAAGGGGGCGCCGCGGAAGGCGAGCCAGGCAGGGACCCGCAGGCGGGCAGGGCTCCGCGAGTCCGCCGCCGGCGCTCCGCCCGCGCCCCCGCCCGCGGCAGCCCCGGCGGGCCAGACAGACCGACAGACAGCGCCGAGCGCGGCGAGCCCGGCGGGGAGCCCGGCGCCGCCAACGGGGCCGCGCATAAAGGCAGACGGGGGGAGGGGGCGCTTACCTCCAGCGCTTCAAAAGTGACAAAGCTGGTCATGGCAAACCCATCGATGATGTCCTCTTCGGCCGAGGTGGACTCGCGCCGCTTCCTCCGCGGGGGTCTGGGCGGGGCCAGTGCGCGCCTGGGGCCAAGTCTGG